TTTTTTTCTTTTGTTTATAAACTTACCAATGCGCCCAGTCATTACGCAGCCAACATTTTTGGTAATACGAAATAAGTGAGTGACTGTTTCTGGATCAATAAGCTTCTCAGCAACCTTTTTTTGTGTGGCCAAAACAGCGCAATCTTTGCCTTTCAGCGCCACTGATGTAAGGCCTTCATGGTCAATGGATTTGAAAGCGTATTCTATTAGGAAGAGTAATTGGATATCAAATATTGATGTGGATATAAAAATATTTATCGGCAATATTTGAGAAATTTTTGCGTACCGACTTGGTAAAGGCGACCCTCGGGTGAGAAAATTGTTATATGTCTGTCAAAGCCGGCTGAACTACCACGCGACATTTTTCAAGTTTTACGTGCACTAATTAAGAAACTGCAAAATTTAATAAGTATTTATCTGTTTATAAGTTAAGCTTGAATTAAATTACTGACGATTTTTGTGCAAAAATGCCTAGATCTAAACAATTACCCAGAGAAAACAAGATTCCACAGATGACCAGCAAATTGTTAAACTTCGCTTCTTCTTTTTCTTACTAGAAGTTCACAGTTGTCAAAATCAACCAGTCATTCCAACCACGACGTTGCCACTCAAAAAATAACAATACGAATTTATTGTACCTAGACGCATAAATTGTACCGATCTCTTATTAACTTCTCTAATATGGCTGCCACCGGAAACCTAAACAACCATTTCTCTTCCATGCACAGGTACACAAACATAATTGTAAGGTCATAATTTATTTTATTAAATATTTTCCCCCACTTATTAAGTTCAAAAACAATTACAGCTTAGTTTTATAGTATTTATCTGGTAAAAATTCGTCCAGTTCTAGCTTTTTGGCGTTTTCGGGATAACATGCGTAATGTGTGAAATCCTCTACGCCGGCTTCAGTTAGCACTTCCTCGTCGATCAAAAAATTGCCAGTGCATGTTTTCGGATCGCGTCGAAGTATTTCATATGCCGCATCGGCCATTATGTCGGGCTTCCGAGAATATTTGGCGCCGTCAGCGCCACGTAACATTTCAATGGCTGCGGTGTAAACAATTGTGCGTGGCCATAAAGCATTTACTGCTACTCCTTGTGCTTTGAACTCTTGAGCCATGCCTAGGACGCACATTGACATGCCATACTTGGCTATGGTATAGGCAACATTTGATGCAAACCAACGTGGATGAAGTATAAGAGGTGGCGATATATTCAAAATGTGTGGATGCTTACTTTTTAATATAAAAGGAAGGCACTCTTTTGATCTGTAAGAAATATTTAGAGATTTTTTTTTCTTATTCATGATTTTTCAGTGGTTGACTCACACCAAAAATGTACCCCTGCTGTTAATGTTGTTCATTAGGTCATAGCTCTTCATGTCGGTTTTCAAGGTCCGGGTCACTTATATTGCACTTGCATTGTTGATCAAAATATCAATGCCACCGAATTTTTCAACTGCTTTCTGGACTGCCGATCGCACTTGCATTTCATCACGAACGTCAACTATGCATGCTAATGCTTTACCGCCGGCCTTTTCAACTGCATGTATATGTAGGTACAAGTATATATGTATATAAAAATGTGTTGATTAATAGTTAAAAATTTAGTGAGCAGAAGTAGTTTAGAAGAATGTCGCAAGCACTCACTTTCCTCTGCAGCTGTATAAATGGTTCCTGGTAGTTTTGGATGTGGATCAGCTGTTTTTGCAGCTACTACAATGTTCGCACCATCGCGTGCAGCCCTAAGTGCAATAGCTTTTCCGATACCTCTAGAGGCTCCAGTGATAAATACTGTTTTCCCACATAAAGCTCTAAGCAAAATAAACAAATATACGACAAAAACTTTATTAGACTATAGTTACATAAATGCTTCTTTACCCAACGTTTGGCATATTGCTGTCTAAAAATATATCCACACTTAACCGTTCATCAAACCCAACTGAACAGGTATACTAACTAAATAGTTGTTGCTGTAAACAGTACAAAGTGCAGTTGCATATTAAGTTCTGATGATCAACAACACATTTTTAATAATGTACTTATAAGTGTATATATGTATTTGCATATTCATATGGAATTTTGTATATGTACGTATGTGAAAAATTTTCCACACATACAGACTCATATTTACATATATATATCTAGATATATCTAGAGGCTAAAAAATAAAAGAAATACATAGGTATGTATTAGACAATTTTATATAACTTAATTGAAGACAAATTTAAGACACTACAAAATATCACTGAATACCCCTAATAGAATAAAATTTAAAAGTGAATTAAAAGTACCTCTTTAGGTTTAAAAAAATATATGTTAAATTTTATAGCTTTGAGAAGTATTTATCGGGCAGAAAGAAATCCGACATTAGTTTATCTGCATTTTCGGGAAAGCACGTATATCGTTTAAGGTCTTCCACACCTTCTTCGATTAGTACCTCCTCATCGATGAAGAAATTGCCGGTACAAGTATTAGGATCTCTACAAAGTATTGCATACGCTGCATCAGCCATTATTTCAGTTGTACGAGAATATTGAGCAGCTTCAACTCCTTGTAACATTTTCAGGGCCTCTGTATAGATTGCGGTACGTGGCCATAATGCATTTACTGCAAGGCCTTTGTCTTTAAACTCCTCAGCCATACCCAGTACACACATTGACATGCCATATTTTGCCATATTATAGGCTACATGATTACTAAACCAATGAGGTGCCATCACAAGTGGTGGTGAAATATTTAAAATATGTCCATGCTTGCTCTTCAGCAAATGTGGTAGACATGCCTTTGATCTATAATTGAAGTATTATAATTAAATGTAAAGATACCCAGTTTTCTTATAACCTTACACCAAAAATGTGCCCCTCGTATTTATATCATGCATCAAGTCGTATCGCTTCATATCTGTTTCCAGTGTTGGCGTTAAAGAAATAGCACTGGCATTATTAATTAAAATATCAATACCACCGAACACATCCACTGCCGCCTGTACAGCTTTGCGCACTTCCTCTTCGTCGCGTACGTCCACAATACACGCCAACGCCTTGCCACCCTCATTTTCGACTGCATTGCGAAAATTTTAAATTTTTAGATTATTACATATGGACGCCTCCATACCATACTATGTTAAGTCTGACTCTAAGGTGACTTAACATGGTATGGTTTGGAGGTGTATGGATATGTATGTATGTATGTATATATATTTTTGATCGCATTGTAGGCACTTACTTTCTTTTGCCGCGCTATAAATTGTGCCAGGTAACTTTGGATGAGGTTTGAAGGTTTTTGCAGCTACCACTATGTTCGCACCATCTCGTGCTGCCTTTAAGGCTATTGCTTTTCCAATTCCTCTGGATGCGCCAGTTATGAAAATTGTCTTTCCACGCAGTTTTCTAAATATTCATATAAACAAAAACTAAAATTATGTTTTGTTTGAAAACGATCGCACTTACCCGTTAATTCTCATATTTTCAATTGATAAATTAACCCAAAATTAACCGAGAAATAAGATGCCTACTTAATTGGCCCAATGGTACAATGTCCAAACAGGAGACTCGTTTACTTTTTATGGTGATAACTCCGAAATCGTTGATAAATTTGATTTCTTTTTGTTGCAATTGAACTTGTGATGGGCGAGTTCGAGATGTTTTAGTCGATTGCCTCGATTGAACTCGATGTTTTCTCTCGACGAATAGCCACTCGAAAATAGTCTAGTGTAAAACGACGTTTCCACGCCAAGTGATTCGCTGTCCCATTCGTAATTTGCTCTGTCATTCGTGATTGGCGCCCCAGTTACGAACCGAATCACGTAATTTGCCATACAAAATATTGAGAGTGAATCACTTCATTCGTAGGTGATTCATAATTTTCATCGTGATCAATAATTTTCATCGATAACGGCTGTCAAAACACATAGACCACACACTTCGTCACCAGCACAAAAATTGAAAAAATAGCTAAATTGATTTAAAATATTGATCAAGCTAATTAACCACTACAAATTTTTTCTCCACCGTTGAGATACACAATATGCAACACATTGGCCCGTAGTCATAGTCAAAATAAAGTCGACTTTAAAGTTAGTTGCAGCTTTTTTGACAGATATCCCATTGAAAATTATGTCAAAAAGCTGCAACTAACTTTAAAGTCGACTTTATTTTGACTATGACTACGGGCCATTGACTCGATTGTAATTATGCAACGAAGGCGATTCGCTTGATCGTTTAAACATCTCGGATTCGCCCATTACTAAATCGTAGTGCATTTAGAACAAACAGCAGTGATTACAAGCAGAACCGGATACTTGATACAGAAACAAAGGGTGCTACCCGGTTTCAAAAGAAGTTGAGAAATATAAATTTTTCAAATGACATGGCGAATTTTTTAAATATGGGAAATGATCGTTATTCCTCTTGTACAATACGTCGCCTGGGTAAAAGATTGTCGTAAGCGCCATTTTGACGATTTTTAGTTCTAGATGCAGTTATATATTTTGATGTAAGGTCTTCCGATTGATGTTATAAGTTTTCAGATATCTCCTTTAGTTTCCGAGATATTGACTACAATTTTTTTCTATAATTTAGTTAGTAATGCAGCCATATTAAACTAATCAATATCTTAAAAATCACGTTCTCCATTTTTGGATATCTTCTTTAGTTTCGGAGATATTGAGTAAAAAGTGTCGCTAATTTAGTAGAACTTTTGATCACATTTTGTCGTATTTCATACAAAGTGGCTGCCAAATTGTCGACAAATGACGCTTACGACAAAATTTTACTAAAGAAAAACCTTCATAAACTCAAAGCTAATTAACATTAAACATTAAAAATTAAATAATTTAAGAATTTTGTGAACTAGTAACATTTTCAGAGACTTTGGAGAATATCTATCTTCGCGTTTTTGAGAAATTGCATTCCAAACTTCAATGGCGATTTCCCACAACCTGCCGAAACCAACATACGACAATCTTTTACCCAGGCAACGTCTAGAAAATAAAATATGTACAAGGCAACCAAGGCATAGTCGTGAGGTTAATGCTGCTGGGGTTTGCAACATTGGTCGCCGGCAAACAGAGAGCGTAGATTTTTTACGTTCTCTGTGGTAAAGTGTCCAATACTTTTCTGTTTATGTTGTGTCAGAAATTGCGGAAAAATAGAGATTTTTCATTTTATTAAATATTCGTAGACAGTTTGTAAAAATTTTATCTACCGTCGCAAGTAAATATACTGTAAAGAACATAATTGTGGGTTACTATTGCAAAAGGCATGTTGGAGAACGAAGTGCTGGCGTTACAAAATCAATTGACCATCGCACGCAATGAAATAAACAAATTGAGGTAGAAAGACTAAACTCTTATTTTCTTATTTCCCCTTATACATATTTATGCAAAATTTCAGACAACAAGTTCGCAATTTGCAGCATGTTCAGAGAAAGGATATTGATGGTGTTGCGCGTATGCTGCGGGAGTTTCGTTGCGAAGGCTGTCGTCGACAAACTGCTGAGGAGAATACACGGAACAGCAATGTTGCGCCAAAGCAGAATCCGCACGCTGATGTAAATGACTCCTGTTTGACGAAATTCTTCAAATATTTTTAACCGTCTACTCGTTTCAGGATTCTAATGCGGAGGCGTATGGAGGTGTGCGTTGGCAGCAAATTGGTGTAATACGCACTGCATTTCCAGAAAAGCGTGCAGTGCCGCGACAGTCGAGTGTGGGCGGTCGCCTGCGAGGTATTGTTGAATTAAATGCCGATACATTTACAAATCCTGAGCACGCGCTAGAAGGATTGGAAGAATATTCCCACATGTGGCTAATCTATCATTTTCACAAAAACAATGCACACCCAAAGGCCAAGGTCGCCCCGCCGCGCTTGGGTGGAGAACGGGTGGGTGTATTCTCAACTCGATCTCCGCATCGTCCCTGTCCAATAGGTTTGTCCTTAGTGGAAATTGAAAAGGTCGACGGTGCATCGATTACATTCTTTGGTACCGACATGGTGGATGGTACACCATTGTTAGACATTAAACCATACATTCCGTTTTATGATTCGCCAATGCAGCCATTGGACACAGGTATGCTTATATATTATTATAATTAAGGTATTTAACATTTTTATAATTCACACGTGTAGGCCGCGTATCTGTTGGGCCATTGGAAACCCTGGATTTTTACGATTCTCGTCAGGAACCAGATGGTGAGGAGTCGGAACTTGAATTGTTGGCAGCAGGCGCGACAGGTGGCAGTAATAGTAGCAGTGATGATGCCGGTGGCGGTGGTAATATCGGACCTCATCTCAACACGACGCCACCTAATATTATCAATAACCCTTCACCACCATTAAATGCCGTTAAGGTCCCCAATTGGGTAGCAGGCAGTCACCGTCTGAAAGTTTGCTTCAATGAGCGTGCCGAGTCACAATTACAGGAGCTACAAGTGCACCGACAATGTATCATTGATATATTGGAAGCAGACCCACGTTCCGTGTATCTACGCACTAAATATGGTTCTCAGATATTCACCTTTCAATTAAGTGAAGTGACTGTTACATGCAAATTCGATGACAAAGCAGCAATGGTAACAGTAGTGCAGATACGTAGAACAGAAAATGTGCAAGACGAAGAAGTGCCGGAGTAAGAGAGCAATGATGATTAGAATGAAAGGACTTTTATGAGCTTCGTTAAGCGTACTTAATGGCAATTGAAAGAATGATACAGGGGATAAAAATACGACATTGCAAATTTATAAAAAACTAGATAAAGTATTTGTAGTAACTGCTTATGCCGATGATAGCAAGTTATGGGTCTATGAGCTATTCATAACAAATGGATATTCAATGAATCACCTCCTGCTGCTACAATGCACTTTAAGTTGTTTTCGTTATTTACTTGCCAGCTGCAATATGATATGTCATTTAATGCATTTTTCCCCAATTCATTGAAAAGTATTTTAATGCAGAACCTGCTGTGCATTTCATATATTCGCTACGCTTTTCTCTTTATAAGCTTTAAATTTATGGGTCGATTACTGATGGCAACGAAACTTCAGTTGCGTTGCCAGTGACTGAAATTGTATTACAGATGGCAACTGGCAACTGAAAGCTGGCAACCGAATTGCCTTATTGGTAACTGCACTTTTGTGGTTGCCGCAGAAGTTTTGATTTTGAAATTTTATTTATTTATTTTTTTCATCTGTTTCCACGGCTTAATCATATCAAAACTCGATTATCTTCAACTTTGTAGCATTTAACTATAGCTGCTGTTCATAATACACATTTTCATTTCAGTGACGTTGCGCTTCGGCAACTCAACTGAGGTTGCGTTGCTATTCATAATCGACCCATTAGTGTTTATGTTTATGGCGTTTTCTGGGCGCTTGAAATAGAGATAAAACTACATATGTTTAAAAACATATCGTTTAGATTAAATAATGTCAATGACAATTATAGCAACAATTTAAGTAAATAAATGTTTAAAATATGACTTATAAAATTAATATGTCAATATTTTTTCTCCAGGGGATAGGGTCATTTATTACATTTAAACAAATCGAATTAAACCATAAGTTCAAAAAAACTGTATTCCTATGTAAGTTGACAAAGCATCTGAAGTCCCTGTGAGCAGGGATATGTCACTTAGACAACTCAGAATATGCTCACAGTGTGGCCTGCTTGTCGTAAAAGGCGACTGAAAGGCTTTTCAGTTTAGAGTTTTTAAGTTTTGGTTTGGTTTGGTGTACTTAATTTTGTTTAATTTCATTTAATTTTATTTTATTCAGCCTCATCGGGAATTCCATGAGAGCAGATATTCCCAAAAATTATAAAGCGGAACAAAACAAATTTTCTCAATTTGTTTTTGTTTTACCTTTTTAATAATGGGAAAGATTTATTCACATGGAATTTACGAAAAGGTTGATTTTGTTATATGTTATTTTATTTCGTCTTTTTTTGTTTTATTTCATTTCATTTCAGTGTGTTTAATTTTATTTTAATTTATTAAATTATTATTATTTTTATTTTTCAATTTAATTTTTTTTCATTTACTTTAATTGTAATTGATAACTGTGCTTATCTGAAATTTGTATGATTTACTTAGCTCAAACAATTTAATTTTTATTTTTAGGTTAGGTAATAAATATTAATTTTAACCTGATGTTGAATACAACTTGGCGATGTCCACCGTCACATTGACTTGGGAAGAATTTCTGCAGGAAGCTATAGAGTTCCAAAAGATATCAGAACGCCTGGGTGACATATGGACTTTGTGCAAAAGGGTGCATGTCTCGTACATTTTCTAAATGGTTGTAACTCAAATTAATTTCTTATTACTCTGTAGGATGACGAAGACGGTAACACTTATCTACGATACCAACAAAAAATACCAAATACTATTGACTCAAATAGTTATGCAGATCCTTTGGGAGAAAATCAATCCCCTCTAAAATATGACTCTGCTACTGTGGCTCCATCAACCAAAGACCTATTGCAAATCGAATATCATATCGTCTATAGTATTTCATATCAAGTTCCTGTGCTATATTTTCGCATCTACCGTAGTGGTTAGTATGCTTATGAACGTATGTTATGAACCGAACTAACTATAAGTCATACCTTAGATGGCGGCTTAATGAATCTCGAAGATGCTTGGCGCATCTTTCGTGGCTATGTCGGTAATGCGGGTAGTGCACATGCTACTGGTCATACAACTAATGAAGATATGCTGAATATTATGACCCAATTGGATCATCCAGTTTTACGCAGACCATATATTGCAATACATCCATGTCGCACAGCCGAATTGTTAGCGCAAGCAGGACTCAGTCGGAATCGTGTACTTACTTTTATCAGCTTGATGGGACCCTTTGTACAGCTGGTTTTAAAAAATGAATATGGCTTGGAGTTTGCTGATGGCTAAGTCAGTATAAATATACATATACTTCTGCAGCGAATTATACTTACATTGATATTTTTATAATTAAAAGATGCAACACGAGCGAGACTGTTTTAGTTACTGATGTATTTGTTCTTATTTGTATTCTTTAACATTTAAAATTACTTAAACAATTTAACAATTACTAAATTTTTAATAAATTATTTATCGACATAGACAACAGCAGAAATAGTACAGCAAAAGCAATCAATATTTGAGGCAATTGCTTACATTTACAAAATTAAAAGCCACGAATTATGCCAAAACCATTTTACTGAGTTAACAATTTCTTATTCTACAGTTAGAGTCATTTTAAAGGTAATAAACAAAGTTTTAAATTTTATGAATATTTAATCGAGTTTTTTTCATAAAATGTTTGCTATTACAACTAGGCTAAACTGGAAAAAATTTTCTAAGTCGCATAAACCTTTATTTAACAAATGCAGCTATGTATGTATGTATATCTTTTTTACATTAAGTATATTTGCAAGTAGTATATTTAAATATTACATGGTATATGTGTATATAATTTATTTATATATATGTACATATGTATGTATTTCCCTAATTGTCAGGCTATTTAACGCTACTTACGATTAGATGTATATATCGTCGTTTAAAGTGCAAAACCGCGTATCAACAAAATGCAAAACCGCGTATCAAGATAATGCAAAACCGCCTATGTGAATTATGTAAATTATTTTCAAGAGAGTAAAAACACTCGTATTTCGAAATGGTTCTCTTTTTTTATAAAGCAATCGCATTTCTGGCTAGTATATTTCAGGACGAATGGATAAGGATTGAGCCAAGAGCATATTGTGTGAGCAAACCCAATTTTTTGGCAGCAAATTGCCAGTTACGCGGTTTTGCAGAATCACGATACGCGGTTTTGTACTTTAAATGACGATATGCATATTTTATTTGGACTCGGCGCGCAATGCTCTACAATTACAAAAGCGCATAAAGTGCAATGATTACACTACGTAAACAACTATATAGCACTCTTTTTAAGTACATAAATAAAATAGATTTCTAATAAAATTTAACTGCTGATAAAAATGGCCAGAAGATTTTTGACTAAATTATTTGTTGTTCCAAGTAAAGTATTGAGCTAATGAAAACTTTTGTGAATTATTGAGTTCGGAAAGCATTGCAATTTTTTACCAGTTCACGCAATGGAATTGCTTGTTAATCGGCTTTAACAGTTGACACATATGAGAATTGTTTGTAATATACAGTGCCGGACAAAAGTATTGGCACAGAGAATTTTTCGCAATATCTGAAAAGTTTTTTATTGTAATTTATTTTCGAAATTTTTTATAAATATATAGTTCGTCCTACACCAAAAAACATAAAAGCTAATTCTCTAAATTTTGTGCAAAACTCAGGAAAATTCAATAAATTTGCATGTCCAAAAATCAACGCAATTTTTTAGATACTTCAAACTTGCACTTTGTTATATTAAAATTAGTTGGGCTATAAAACTACATACTTAGAATTTCTCTAGAAAATCTGAATAAGAAGTTGCAAATTAGTATGCAAATTTATTGAATTTTCCTGAGTTTTGCACAAAGTTTAGAGATTTTGTTTTTATGTTTTTTTCGTGAAGTACGAACTATAGTTTTATTAAAAAATATTGAAAATAAATTAGAATAAAAAACTTTGCATATATTGCGAAAAATTCTCTGTGCCAATACTTTTGTCCGGCACTGTATTTTTTTCTTTTCAGAAACTTAAAAAATTAATAGAAAATATGCTTCAAGTATTCAATGTGTAAATATTTCTTTTATTGATGGATTTTATATAAGTGACGATCAGATAAGAGCTTTGATTCTGTGCGCAACACCTATAGAAAGCTTTGAAAGCCTCCGGCATATGATTTGGACGTTATTGTTTTATATGTGTCACGAACAATCATATCCCGCAGGAGAAGCTTTTTTAAGCTTAGGGCTATAGCTCTAGACTAGTTTTGGCCAGCTAGTGCTCTTATTTTGTGCCAGTCGCCTGAGTATTATAGATAAGAGCATTCAAAAGCTGAGAACTCGTGCCTTTGCTATGATATGCATAGATGCGCTCTCTCAGGTAGTCCCTGTCGTATAAACTCAAAAGTCATCTAGAAGGTCTCGGCCCTAAACAAAGTCGAACGAAAGGAAAAAGCTTCGAAGCTCCATACATATTAATAGGTTTGTTTTGCCCTGGTAACTATAATTTTGTGGGAGTTAAATAAAATCCCAGTTTCAGGTTTTGTTAATAGAATTTTTAAATTTTGCGGTTACATAATCTTCGTAACGTTCAGAATAGGCATGCAAACCAGAGTTTGCCACTTCATAGACATAAGCTTTCTCTATATATTTAACTTTTGAGCGCATATGTGGAATTTACATAAAGCTTTAAAAAGTTTTGCCAGGGGCTGTTGCTACATATTTTTTACCGATGCGAACAGGATAAAAGCTCTATTTGGTCAGCAAAATACTAAAAAATTGTTTTATTAAGATTAATAAAATAAGCGATTTTTTATCTTGTAAGTATTTTTTAAACGCCTAGATTTCTATATTTTTTATTGAAGTTTTTTTTTTTTACTATGCGCATGTATGTAAATAGATGCCTATGTGTATATGTTTGTATATGTATGTACATATATATATATATATGGAGTTTCTCGAATATATTTAAACTAATATCTTTTAGTTTTATATTTATTTTATATATTTCATTATAATTTATTATAATTAATGTTAACTCCTACTGTGGTGTTCTATTTCATAGCAAATGCATACAATCACACGTACGCACACATACATATATACATTTTTACACCCTGAGCGTATCTACATACATACATAGGCATGCGTTGAATGGTGTATGCTTGCATATGAAATATGTTTTCAAAAATGTTTATTTTTCCATTTGAAATAAATTCTAAAAACTAAATGCAATACCCTACACTACAGTACTAGCATTAAAATACGTATCTACTATGTATGTACACATTGTCTAGTTATTTTTATGGACCACGTCGATACTATATACCTATGTATGTAGATAGTTTCTTGTACATATGCACATATGTTTGTAAGTGTATTTACATATATTTCAGTTATGCACTTGTGGTCGGCTGATTAAGTTAAGTGATATTTTGACCAGTTTTGGCATTTTTCTTTTGAATATGTAATGTTTATACTTTTTTTTATACAAATTTAGCACATTACATAACCAGCATCACATAAATCCGCATTTCAAACTTCGTACAAAATTTATAAAAATTAAAAAAACTTTAACCATTACACCCAAAAATTTTTAGGTATTCAGTTTTATAGTTTTTAGTTACTTTTAAATATACTGAAAAAAATGCTTAGCACCGTCTGACAAAAAAAAAATTATTCAACATCAATGCGATTTTAAAGCGCCTTGAAATTTGCACTTTATACTAAAATTTAATGGGCTATAAAACTGCATACCTAAAATTTTTCTGAAAAATTTTAAATAAATTGTTAAAAATTTTTGGGTATAATTGTTAAAGTTGAAGAAAATACCAAGCACCGTCAGCAAAATAAAAAAATAATTAAAAATCCACGCGATTTTCAAGCGTCTTCAAAATTGTACTAAAATTTTTCTAAAAATATTTAATAAAAAGTTTAAAATTTTTGGGTGGTAAGTGTTAAAGTTTGTTCAATTTTTATAATTTTTGTAAGAAGTTTGAAATGTGGATTTATGTGGATGTGGTGCTGTTTATGTTATGTGCAGGACTTTTATAAAAAAAATTATAAACATTTAATAAATAAAAGAAAAATAACCATAACTGGTCAAGATGTCACTTAATTTAATCAGCTGACCACAGGTGTATATTCAAATTAATAGAGTTTTAAAAGGACACAAAATTGTGATAAAAAAAAATATATATATTGACCCCTGACCTACAGTCCTCAAGAGCTTCAAATTATTGACTCTGATCTAAAGAAATTCGCCCTTTGAAGGACAATTGTAAATGGTTGGAGAGTTCACGGCATAACTTCCCGCCTACTATTTTTACTTTGCCGTAAACATATACCGGACAATTCTGGTTAAGACAGTTGAAAGTCATTTGAAAGGCAAAGTAGCCAACAAATGTAAGTAGCTTGAAAGATTTGCTTTATTCTGGTAAGAAATTCTCGCAAAAAAAGCTTTCTTGTCAACTTTTATGGTAAAAAGCTTTTTTGACAGAAAGCACGCATCACAGATCTAAAGTGAGCTAACTCAAAACTCAGAGAGGGAAAATTAACTGCTTGTGGATCGTACAGATTCAACGCAATTAATTCAAAAATAGGTAATAAATAACAGTAGTTAGTTAATATGTATAATTATGATTCATGACGAAAAAAACATTTCGTCGATGTTTTTGCAAAACCGCACATCCACCAGCTGCAAAACCGCCTGAATCGCCGTTGTGGAAAAAATGAGATTTGGTAACCATGCATGAAAATCGGTAAAATCGTTATTAAAACAACAGATTTGTAAAATAATAGCTAGAAGAGAAAATACTGCCTTTCAAAGCAACGCCTTCAAAGAAAATCCGTTTTTTTCGCTCTCCTGTAAAATTTGAGTGCCGTAAGATAGGCGGTTTTGCAATTGGGCGATGGACGGTTTTGTAAAAATATCGACGATTAGATCTAGGTGTGCGATATGTATATCACTTTGCTCTCGCTGGTTGCATTGGCCGAGTGAGCAAAGCACTGGCGTGTCATTCGAATGATGCGAGGTTCGATTCCTCTGGCAGCGGAATTTTTAATTTTCTTTTGATATTAAGATTTTGATGTTTTAAAAAGAAAGAAAAAAAATGCATTTTTAAAGCTTAATTTAATCTTCAGAAATACTTTTTTTATTTTTATTTTTTATCATTTATTTTATTTTTTTTGAAAAGGAAGTTTTTTTTTATTTGGTTTAGTTTTCCGAAGCTTATATATTTTTCTTCTTTTTTATTTTTAATTTTTCTCCTTTTTTTAATTTATTTTTTCGAGTTTAATAATTTAAAAAGAAAAAATAATTCTTTAAAGTTCGTTTAATTTTCAGAAATTTGGTTTTTATAATTTATTTTTTTTATTTAAATTTTTTGTAATGCTTAGATTTTATTGTTTTAAAAATAAAAAGTTTTTATTTCACTTAATTCTTAGAAACTATTTTACTAATTGTTTCTTTTTTAACCGGCTCTCTAGAGAATAGCAATGTCTTATGGCAATGGCTAGCTTCATTTTAGATGGAATGACGACGATAGTGAGCACCAGCATAAGCAGTATGTTGCAGAAGTGTTTCGTCGCCGTGGGGTAGGCACGATACCACCAAACAAATAAATAGAAGCACATCACAAGGGGAGGGGCGTATTATCGCCGCTACTATGTTAGCTGCTGGTAAATAGAATACTGCATATGCGGATGATATCTCTGTCATAGTTGAGGGGGAAGTGTCTGTCCAAAAACAGCTCACTTATGCCCAAGAACTACGGGATATATGTATGTACATTTTTAGGCAACCTAAGTGGGGCTTAGTATTAATGCAGAAAGAACAGATCTGGTACTCCTCGCCAGAAAATACAAGTTGCCTCACTGGCATAAGTCAAAGCTGGATGGGGTGACGTCCAAGATGAAGTAAATCACCAAGTACCTTGGAGTAGTACTCGAAAGCAAGCTATCGTGGAGGAGAGGGCATCAGTGGCATTCTGTGCATGCCAAAAGATGCTGGGCTGTAGGAATGCTGGCTGGTCGAAAATGGAGAAAGGTGAAGGGCCGGCAGTGATCTGCGCGGAACTAAAACTCAAGAAATCCGATAAGCTGTTGGACCACTTCTTCACTGGGGTTAAGGGCAACGAGAAGGCCGACAGGCTTGCCAAAGAAGGTGATCTGTCGAAAATCATGCTAACAGAGGAAGTGCCGATTTCCCTCCAAGTGATTAAAAGGGAGCTCGACCTGTACATGATGCAAAGGCGAACCAGTTTCTCCTATCCCTTAAGACGATGCATGCTCGGCTACATACTAGCTGCCTTTGAACTGCCTCTGACAAATGATGGGCTCTGTAGTAGATGCAGGACGGCACAGTGGACAGTGGAACATATCCACTGTGGGTGTCCTTCTTTTAGCGGACCGCAGACTAGTCTCCTGGGAGTGGGGAAACTTCGAACCTCGATAGATATTTAATGTAGAGTTTGATAGTTTAAGTTGTGTGGATGTGGAGTTTAGACCCAACAGGCAAATGCTAGAATTTAAAAAATAATAAATACTTTTACAATGACTGAAAAAATTAAAAGGCGAGCTAATAATTATAACATGTGTAATGTATACATACATATGTATACATATATGAATGTTCATTGTATATTTATATTTATTTATTTTAAAAATTTTCGTTTTTTAAAATATTTGTTTTTTGGGTTTTTAAATATTTAATATTTCCTAAACTTTACATTTAACTAGACAGTACGTAGTAAATATGAGTTTTTTGTTTGATAAATATTCTAAACATTATTTACTTGTATACATAATTTGCTACATAGTTTTTTTTTTTTCTGAAATTCCATTAAAGCTGCACCATTTTGTATTTTATATATTTAATTTCGAGTTATCGATTTTTATATGTATATTTAAGCATATTTCAGGTCAAATTATGCTGATATTAAATAATTTTGTCTAGTAAAATCTGTCAAATAAATTTAGTAAAAAATTAGATCATATATCATAAATCGAAAACCAAATCAAGAAAACATAAATTTGCGCTATATTGTAAACATAGCTTAAGTCAATACCGATTAGCTCTAATATTCATTTAGTAAGAAACCCGATAGTTACGAGAAGGAAGAAATTGAAACGGATATTGAAGAAAGTCATTGGGGTTTTTGGTTGATTTGGTGTTTGGCGTGTCGAATGGAAGAAATCCTTCATAGATGTAAAGAAGAGGGTAACATCAGGTGATCTCAGCTTTAAACATTTTTTAACAAACAGCTGAGAGTTCTTTCCAAAAAATTAAATTAAACAAAATTTGAAAACAATGAGCTTTGCTAAGCCATTTGAATTTTTATATAACTTTATTTAAATTATCTAATAACATTTAATCTACTTCTACAACGCTGGAAAAAAAATTAAAAATAAAATAAAAATAAAATAAAAATAAAATAAAAAAATACATAATTTAATAATAAAAATATTTTTGACTAGTGGTATCTATACTTATTTTTTATATAAATATGTGGCATATTATCTAAATATATATTGAAATTTTGTACAAGTATTTACATTAAAATTTTTATAAATTTTTTTTTTCTAATGCAAGAAGCAATTTTAACACTTCACGAGCTTGCATAGGCGCTTAAATATACATGCATACTTTTACAATTAAAAGCACAATCACACATTATCTCCTACACAAATATAATTTGCTATGTCTAAATTCGCTAATAGAATAATAAATATGTATGTTTGCATATATGTACATACATATGTTTTACTAGAAAAAAATCTTAAACCGCGCTAAAAGCTCTAAATTTGCTAGGACTCTTTGTTTTTTTTTTTTGGCATTTTGAAGCACTTAGGGGCCCTTAGTCTTAGGTAATTATTACACATGTTGGCTTTATTATGTAGTTTATTTTGTTGATGTTTTTATCTTTAATAAGTAAATATAAGCTACACTTCTCTAACACATATATACATATATTTCCTTAACATAAATTTACTGTTTTCTTATACCGCTAAAAACATTTTTTTTAACTAAAATATGCTATAAAAAAATAAATTAAAGCTCACATTACGAATGCATTAAAATTTGTATTTTTTCGCTTCTCAATTTTCTATGATAAAAATTCTCTTCTCACTGCAGAAGTTTCTATTTCTAAACTGCATAACAGGTTTACAATTGTTTTTGTTTTTTTTCCTTGTATTATATGTATGTGTGTATATGTATGCGTAAAATAGTTTCTCTTCATTTTATTCATTTAAATATTTCTCCACTTCCGTTTTCCGTTTTGCGATTTTTGGACTTGTTGTGGTATGTATGTATGTATGTATGTTGCTAAAATTAAAGCTATTCTATGTGTTGGACGGTGGTTTCTTTGTGTTGTTGTTGGTGTCGTTCCGTTAGTGATGCCCCTATGGAACTACTAGCGGATACGCTCCGCCGAAATCAGCTGCAAAGTAAATTGAAGAAGCCTCTACCTTTTTCGGAACGTGGCGCCATTAGCATAGGAACTTGATTCTTATGAGTGACTTTAATCTGAATGCAGAGAAAATGCAAATAAAAAAATTTATTTTTTTTCCTGCAATTTATTGCATTTATATTTACAGTCATTTCAATGCAAAACCGCTTGTTAGTTCTTTTTGAATACTGGAAGACTATGTAGTCTCAATAATGTAAAACTTTATTTTTGCGTTTTAGAGCGCTGTGGAATCGCCGCCATATTGAAAATAGTGGTCAAGGCTTTTTCCAATCCAATTACTGCCTTACAGTATTCTAAAAGAATTGAACACCATTTAATTTAATTTAATTTAATGTCATTTCATTTTATTTTATTTTATTTTATTTTATTTTATTTTATTT